TATAATAATCAAGGAACAGTAATAATAATCACTTGCCAACAAATGTAACAATATAGATAACATAGGAAAATCAATTTCCAGGAGCTGATGCAAAAAGAATTTTCATAAATCATCCTCTAAAGAAATTCACAGTGATTAAAAATCCTCTCACAAAGATAACATCAAGCCAAGATAGTTTTATAGGCAAAGTTCTAAAAAGATTTCAAGGAATACATTATCCCAATTTTATGTATAAAATTGGGGTGATCTCTTCCAGACAAGAGAAAAGAGAGGAAAAACTTCAATTCGTCCTACAAGGCAAACATAACCTGATTTAAAAAAAAAGAAAAAAAGTCTTACGAGGAAGGAAAATGATAGGCCCGTATCACTCAGGATTAAGGAGGCGAGAATCTTAAACACCAGCAAGCTGCGTTTATCCTAGTAATTAAAGAGTGGTTTCAAGGATGCCTGAGTATTAGAGAAGAAAGTAAGCGTGATCCCCATGTGAACACACCCATCAGGAACACCATTAACGGCATCTTACTGCGGTGTCCTGTCAGAGACGGAAGGCATTGGTATCTTCTGCACTCAAAAAAGTGCCTGCTTCTATATACACAGTGCTTAAACTCTGCCTACTAACTATTGACTACGTGGTCAGCTAAATCTATATTCACCTATTTGCTTTCAGCAGAAATATGCCACGGATAAAGAAACCTGATTCATTCTGCATTGTTCTGGGGAAAAATCATTGAGGCTCAAAAGAATGAAGTGTGATCCTCAACAAGCGTGAGAACGTGGAGATTATATGGCTTTTGTTTAACAGAAGAGCACTATCACCGTATGACGGCTACGATGATCTATCCCTGGGTCACAGGATGGCTGAGACTGACTTCAGGTAACTCACAGCCAAGTAAGGGAGGAGATAACCATCCCTGCACATGACGAAAGCTGCACGGAGATGTGGAAAAAAAAAAAAAGAAAGAAAGAAAGAAGTGGTTTGAGCTCAGAGGACAGAACTGGGAAGTCCTCCCAGAGGTGGTACCATTTAACCCAGGTCTTAAAGAATAACTAGGTGCCCTCAAAAGACAAGTGGAAAAAAGAGTTTCTGACAGAAGGAACCGGCTTAGACAACAAGAGGCACTGAAGGGCAGAGAGCAGGTCGGGCGAACCATGAAAGGTCGTGCATGGCACAACAGATCTGTAAAGCAACATCTGTCCAAAAAACAACATCTGTCCCAGCCCCCCTACCTCGTTCTTTACTCCACACATGGGATCAGGAACCCATGGAGCTAATTCCACCTCCTACATTTTCTCTTAAATCCTCTCCTCTCCATTCCCACTACTTTACCTCCACCAACTTTTGCCTGAAATATTGCAAGTCCCTTCCCCCCTTCCTTCCTCCCTCCTCTCCCTTCCTTCCTTTCTTTCTTTTCTTCTTTTTGTAGGCTCTGTGCCCAGCTGGAGCCCAATGCGGCACTTGAACTCAAGATCCTGAGATCAGGACCTGAGCTGAGATCAAGAGTCAGATGCTTAACTGACTGAGCCACCCAGGCGCCCCGATATTGCAAGTTTCTTAAGTGGCCTTCAAATCTCCCCACTTCCAGCCTACGTCGTCACTGAAACGTTCTTTTCTTTTCAAGATTTTCTTCATTTATTTGCGGGGGGTGGGGGAACACAGAGGAAGAAGCAGAAGCAGGCTCCCCGCTGAGCAGAGAGCCCAATGCGAGGCCCAATCCCAGGACCCCAAAATCATGACCTGAGTCGAAGGCAAACACTTAACCGACTGAGCCACCCAGGCGCCCCTTGAATGTTTTTTCTAAAGTATAGTCAAACCATTTCGTCACTTAAAATCCCATATGGTTCTCCAGCACACAGGAGAAAAAGCTCATCCTTGGCGTGATGTGCAATTTCAGGTACGATTAAGACCCTGTCCACCTTTTCAGACTCATGCCCTACTTCTGACCCTTCCAGACTCCTCACTGGCTCTGTGATGGCACACAGGTTACTAGTCCTAGTTACTAGGATAGGTTACCAATCACAGCGAGCCCACTTCCTCTTTAACATGGAGAGAGGAGTTCCCACCATGTGTTCAGATTAAATAAAACTATACATCAAGTAACATAAAAGCTTGGCCTTCATCTTGCACATCCCCAGGACTTATTAAAGAATTTCAAACAGAAGAATGATGCAATTCAATCAGCACTTTAGAAAGATGAAGGGCAGTAGTGGGGACAGATGGAGGGGGTGAGGAAGGTGAGGAAGACCAGCAAGCAGGAGGAAATTCACGGCGAGAAATGAGTGTGTCATGTCAACCAGACTAGAAACAAAGGAACTAGGGAAAATTAAGGGATCTAATCTAAAGCATTTGGTTCCTAACTGGAAGGAAAATATTCAGGAACAGAAGCTGATTCTAACACGTTTTGATGCTTTTTCTGCCCTCACTTGAAACAACTCTCCATGCTTTGAAATTGGATTCACTTTATAGAAACAGGCAGAAGTGTACTGGGATCCAATCTTGCAAGTAAAGAAATTAAACTGGGAAATGCCATTTGGGATTAAAAGTGAGCAGGGACAATTGTGTAACGATGCTTCTAACCAATATGCTTAAAATCATTTTTCTGAAGAAATGAAAAGTGTTCTTATCAATGGCTCCAGGGACTGGAATAAATGTAGAGTCTGTAAAACAGGTAGGAATCATGTGCATGTAACAAATCTTGGCTTAAAAAAACGAAAACAAAACCTAGCCACTTTATAAACACATCTTCTAGTTTGTTAGTTTGTTACATTGCCAAATAGGAAACACAGAGTTTCACGAGTAGACTATGAAGCATCAAAAGACCTAGATGGTTTGACTACCAAGTTCTTGAACACCGGGACCCTGAGTGGGGGACTGTCTACCTCAAAGACTTGTGTTCACATTACATCTGTGTAGAAGAGCCAGGAAAACCTAGAAGTCCCATTTTGCAGTTCTTCAGCAAGATGTCCATGTAGACAGGAATTTCAAATGCAGATAGAAATTTGATTCCTTCTACATTCTCATGACTCAATTGTGACTTCACACTGTGCTACACAGACTGACAATTTTAGATAGCAGCGTCGCATCTTACAGTTAAGAAGTATGATACACTTTGGCACGTCCTCTGAAAAACAAAATAAAAATGCTAACGCAGAAATTGCGTTACCTTATAATGATTTCAAGATTTGAGATGAGAATTCCTGGATATCCGTTTATCGGAAAGAATTCCTGGATGCTCGTTTATCTGAAAGAAATACATCAATTTAGAAGATCTATGGAGGCTGATGGTTCACATACTAACGGTATTCCTTATACGCGTAGTCTCGCGCCAACTTTCCATGACACCTGTTTCTTGGAGTGTACTCTAGGACTCGCTAGTGCTATTGGATTGTCCCTCAAACCACTTCATGAGGTATTTAAAGGAGTTAACAAGTTCAGGACCAATAGGCTTTAGGGTCTCGATCCCTTACATCCCAAGTAACGAGCACAGAGGCTATGGATGGGGCTGGTGCATCCAGCCCTGGCTGAAAGCTGGAGACACAAACCTCCTCGGACCTCCGAGACACTTTCAAGACCTTCTGTGTCCTGCATCTGTCCTCCTGCCGCTAAGACAGATGGACGGAACCGGTAAGTGAAAAAGGACTTTAATACTAACTCAAAGCCAGCTTAAGTTCCTCTCCTGCCACACCAGGTCATTATGCTAATGGGGACTCGAGGCCTCGATCCTGAATTCTTAGGTGCGCTGTGCCTGAGAATTCGATCGGATTTAGAGCTTCTCTGGTTAGTTCCAAGGTACCCTCCTTCCTCACAGCTGCCTTTATATTGGCCACCAAGCCCCACTATGGCCCCCAGAACCTTTGATGTCGACTCATCCCCAAGACAACAAAGGTGGCCTGGTAAGGTTTATGAACAGAGGATGTCCAGGTGTAGTTGGACACTCTTCTACTTCCCACCCCCCCCCCACTCCACTGTCTGATGCAGTATTTCCTACGGCACATGTTATAGACTTGGATTTGAATCTCAGCTCCCCTCCCTACTGTTACCAGAGACGGAAGTTTACTTCTCCCAACCCTGTTTTTTTCTCTAGAAAAACGGGACACTGCAACCTGACTTTGGGAGGCTAGTCAGGATCAACTGAGATGAAGAGTATAGGTAGAGTCCCACGAAGCATGAAGCACGGAGTCTACCTATTTCTCACGATACTGTCTTGCACTGCTGGGGCCTGGAAGCGCCGAAGGCCATCCCTTCCCCTAGCAGCTAAGGTGGAGCTGGGGAGGTCAGGGTATCCACAGCCATCCCTCAGAGAACGCTGGATACTTACCGCGGCTGGTTCTGGAGCGATTACCTCCTGCATCTCTGATCGGGTTAGAAACAGGCAAGGAAAAGGGGAAGGTGCCGAAACTGCATGCGATCAGTGAGCCAGGATCTGGTCAACAACCGGGAGGTGGTAGCGTAACAGATAAATTCAGTGCTGGAGCTTCGAAGCTCTTGTCTCCCATCGCTTCCGGGCCTCTGTGGCTTTTTGCTCAGCTCCGTCTGTCCTCCCACCCGCCAACCTCCCAGGTCTGACCTCCACAGGGCTTTGACCCAGAATTCCCCTCCTCGTCCCCCTCTCCTGGGTGGTGGGGACGGCAATCGGAGCTGGTGTCTCGTGCCCACCCAGCAGCCACAGCACCTGGGGCAGAAGGCAGGGCTGGCGAGCAGGCATCAGGCGAGGCAGCCTGGGTTCCTACGGGCTGGGGATCTCCAGCATGTCACAGGTGGAAGAACGGTACCCTTTTCCTTTAGCATCGAGAAAGCTAGGGCAGGTGAGGGCAACCAACAAAGGAACAAACCTGAAGAAGAGACCGCATCCCACCTGCTCGGACAGAGGGCAAAGCAGGGTCTTCACAGATACACCTGTGGGTTCAAGATGAGTAAGCAAAGAGCTACAGCAACCGCAAGATGGGAGGAGAGAACGAACGGAGCCACAAACACTTCCATAAGAACAGAATTTCTCCCAACGTGAAATGCACAGATAATTTAATGGAATTTACTTGATTTTCCCCTCTCAGGGTCTGACTTCAGGAAATCAAATTACAAAGTCATCATCACATCCTAGATTTATTACAACTGACCTGCAGGCAAAAGGATAGAACTATTACATAAACACTTCGATTCCATGTATATATCTTAAATAGAGGAGGGATTCAAACAAGAATACAGGATAAAATATTCCCAAGCTCCAAGAAGCAGGTATGTTACTGAGCTTCATTTGTACAGACAAATAAGGCAATATCCCTGCACATTAGCTTTTCGATAATTTTTATACATTTTTCTATGGTACAAGAGAAAAATAACCAGAGCTCACAATGTACAGTTCTTACACTATTTTCACAGTTTGTGAACACTATACACCCTTTTGTTTTAATAAAGATACATTGTAATAAATTCCTTGCCCTTAAGTTTATAGTTTATAATAATCTATGATTAATACACTAAAATTGCCTTTCGATGTGGTCATCCACACAAGAGAACGGTCAGATGAAGCTCCTGGACAGTCAGAATTGCTTTTATCCCCACGCGTCCGATGGCAAAGGGACCCTACGCGGAGCCAGACGGGAAGTGGACAGCAGAGCACGAGATCTCCTCCTGAGTCCCCGGGAGCAACGGAGGATGATGGCTTGGTGTGGTCGAAGGAAGACGTGCAGCAACGCCTCCTTTCAGAACACTGGGAAGTCTAAGGGTTAGGAAGCCTGGGTTGGGGGAAATTGGGGAAACAAGGCGAGTGGACCGAAGCGATAATTCACTTCTGAATTCTGAAATTCACAGGGATGTAACGTGAATCAGCACCGCTTTCCCTCGACGGTTTTACAGCGCTGGGGACGGCCGCCCCGGGAGGGGCCCCCCAGCACCAGCGGCCGTCACCTGCTTCGGCCGGCACCACCGGCCTCGGCCCAGGGCTGCTCTCTGCGCATGCGCCGCCACGCGGAGCTGCACGCTCAGGGCCAGCGCGGCCACAGCGGCGCCCAAGGGGAACCTGGCTCAGGAGGAAGGGAAGAAGCATAGCAACAGGGGCGGATTTCAGTGGCCTCCCAACCATTCTGGGGCGGTTTGGGGGTTTGGTGTGCTTGGGGTTTTGTGGGGGGTTTTTTTTGTTTTTAATAGAATTCCAATTCCAAAAAGTAACAGTGATCTGCCAGAGACTCTCACAGGTGACGAGCTTCTCTAAGGGACCCTCATCTGGTCAAATGTGTCTCTAGAAGACGCTTCTTCATCACCTACCACATCGGCAGGGCCCCACGTTTCTGAGCCTTTAAACGTTGGAGCATAGGAGGGATTTGGGGCTAAACGTCCCTGGCAATTAAAAAGCGTTTTGATACAGGAGCAGGAAAAAGGCAAAATATTGGATTAAGCAAAAGTCACAGAGCGGCAACAGACCAGGCGGGCAGGGAGGGGGATTCAGAAACCAAAGATCTGGGCCAGTGAGAGCAAAAGACTGGGGTTTGGTCTTGTGCTGCCTACAAGCAACCTCTATGTAATCAGTCAAGGCACATCGCTTCTAGCTGCTTCTCCCTGTGAGTGAGCTATGATGGCTAAAGTATCAGGCTTGGGACCGGGACCGAGGGGGAATCTGCTACGATTTGTTCCAGATCAGATGCCAGAATTGGAAACATCTGTACACTTTGCCCTCAGTATGTTTTTCTTGTTTCAGTCCGGGTGGTTTGTGGCAGATGGAACATCAAGTTGGCAGCACACCGAATTTTGAGAATGAAGATTCTTAGGATCAGCACCTTCTTTGACAAGTGGCAGACTCCTGAGTCTTCCCGATGAAGAGCAGAAGGACCGGTAAAGGAGAAAAGAACACATTCTGTCCTGTCTCAATATTTCACTGTCCACCTCTTTGAACACAACATGGTTTTTGGTAAAGATAAATTCATTCTAATTTAACGTGATATTTCAAACAGGAAATTTGGCTGAGCACATCGACCCCCGAACATCGACGGTGACGGTAAAGCAACAGAATATCAAATCAGTAAATCTATTGCACTTGGTGAAGAAAGTAAATTCCTCCTTTGTCCCCCAGCTCCAGAGGGCCGTGTGTCTCGTTGGCAGCATCAGCTCCTCTCACTCAAGCCCGAGTCTCTCTGTTCAGACATAGTACATCCATCACCGCGTTCTTCCGGCATCTGGAAGTCTGACAAAACACCACCCCAGTAGCTGCGTCTTCAGGTTTCGAGTCTAGAAATGAATTTAAGATGTGATCTAATCACAGTCAACAAATTGATCGTACTGACTTCCACATTTCATGACTAAATTCATCACAAAAGAGCAGGATGAGGTCTCTCTGACCAGCACTAACACTGTGTGATCAATCGGGTGCCACGGGATGCATGTTCTAGGTGACGGGAGCATACAGACATGATGGAAACGAACACCAATCTTATTGCACATGGTGTCTGGGCGAGCAATAAAAACACTGTGATACGGGATGAAAATTCTTTACGTCTTGCTTCCTCTCAGCCCTTTTTTCTCGAGTCTGACGTAGCAGCGAGATCAGTCGACATACATGGGAGAGCTGGGAGTCGCTGGCATCTGATCCAGGATTTTACAAACATAGCAGGCGACCTCTACGGTACGTTCTTCATACATCAAAATAAAGGGATGTTTCTGCAAGAAAACGGAACAGAGAGAAAGAAAAGAAAAACATCAAAGTTCGTGTCAGAGGCCACAGATCGTGACGGGGCACAGAACGGAAGGCTCCAACCACACGTGGCTGCACAGTATCGTGCACTGGCTCAGAGGGCAAGCATGGCCCATACTTCATGGAGACGTGGTGCTGGGTGCGGGCATGCCTGATGTGGACGAGCCATCCGGGCAGTGAAGTCGGGAAACTATTCTCTACACCGGGAGCATCTGTTGAGGCAGAGAGCAGAGCTGGGGCCTCTGCCGCCATCTGAGAGCCAAGAAGAGCTGCATGAATACCGGTCGCCATTCCTCTTGGGACACAGACGTCAACTTCACGTCCCATTTCCCCACGTGTAGCAGAAGGATCTTAGAGAAAAGACTCTGCCAGTGCCTTAGACCCCGCTCCAGGCGGCTCAACGGGATCTCATCCTGTGAGCTTCTGCCCTGTCCCCTGCAAAGCTCCCCCTCTCCCCTCACATGCCATCTCCGTCAGTACTTTTCTTTCATGGCTTCTCCAAGTATGCTGACCGCGTATCTTTGGTCACTGCTGGCTCTGACCACAGGTTGGAGCACATCGTAACCTGGCCACTAGACAATGGGGTCTTTCCTTAAAAGATCCCCACATAATCAGATCGGTATTTTCTTCACCGCCGAGACCGATGCCACATCCAGGACTGCTTATGACGCCCAAGTCCCGGGGATGGGTGAACTGTCAAAGACACGGGAATTTGCTGTGTGATGTAAATTTACGTGAGCGCATTGCATGAAGGCAGAAGCACAAGAAAGTCTTAGGTATGTTACGCGTACACAGACCATGCGGTCGGAGCTGGCTCCTTAAAGTGAGTGTTATAACTCTTTGGGGTAATTTTTATGACATGTCAAGGCCAAAATTTTCTGTGAGAATCCAGCTAGTAAATTGGTAGGGAAGTTATACTTCCAATTCTCTCTTTCCATATATCTGTTTCGAACATTTTTTTAAAAGTACTCAATTAGGTCAAGCTGTTTGTCTAGGACAGAGAGGACCAATACTTGCTTAGTGAACTGGCATGCTAAGAGAATGTGCAGTGAGGAAATACCTAAAATTCCCAAAAGTAAAAAAAAAAAAAAAAAAGAGAACATAAAGTAAAACATAATTCCCAAAGTCTCATACTCACCAGAAGTTCTTTATACTTTGGCCTTTTGGATTCATCCTTCGTAAGGCTAAAATAACATAAAAATACCATTAATAAAATGGAGACACAGTTACCCAAGTATTTTTCTTTTCACAAATGAGATATTACAAAGAATCAAGCAGTTTTTTCCTTCAGAGACAAGAGTAACAACGAGGACAACCCAGCGAACATAAAAAACACAAAAAATTAGACAATCTATAATCTAAGGATTTTTCCTTAGGATATTCAGTGTAGAAGCATTAGTGAAAAATCAGAAACAAGGTAACTACTGAAAATCAGATAACTTATGGCATAGCTGCATGGCAGAGTACTACACAGTTAAACATATGAATGTGTAAGTATAAAATTGTGTATGTACGCGCATGTGTTTTCTAAATATACACACGAGTATTTATACACACTACCTAAGAGAAACCAGAGTCTGGGAAGTAAACTATATATAAATTTTATCAATTTATCCTTAGATTTTTAAAAGTTTTGCATTCTGTCTCTCAATCCTGTGTTCTCTGGTCTAAAAGTTGATAACAGTGCAACCTCACTAAGGACTATACTGATTTATTGAACCCTCTGCCCTGATATTTTCCCCTTGAATCCTACCTTGTCTAATTAATGTTACCGGAGAGTATCTTCATGTTGTTTCTATTTCCCGAATTTGTCCTGGACCATATCTTTTTTTTTTAAAGATTTTATTTATTTATTTGACAGAGAGAGAGACAGTGAGAGCAGGAACACAAGCAGGGGGAGTGGGAGAGGGAGAAGCAGGCTTCCTGCCGAGCAGAGAGCCCAATGTGGGGCTCGATCCCAGGACCCT